GCTTCTAGAACTGATGTAAACGTAATGTATCAAAAATATTTGATTAAATATTAGTCACTGCTAGTTTTAAATTAGTTTCGAGGTGAGTCTGTTAGCCGGTTTTTCGTTTTAATTTTTACTAAATTCATTGCAGGAAAAACTATTCACACACATAAGTTGTAGAAAATAACATTTGAATTTTTGCTGCATACTTCTTAAGCTAGGAAATTGATATATTTATACACATTTTATGCGACTCGGGCCGCGGAATGACCATCCCTGACTTAGACTATGCCTACGACAACGAGTCGATCGCGACACATTTTTAAGATAAAAAGTAGATCTTAGGTACACAAAAGTTGGCCATCCATGGACTATGGTATCTTTTTTGCCCTTCTTTGTTCTGTTGTTACCGTGTCTAACGTCTCATTAGGAAATAGCTCTCTGGGAACCGGACACAATCATGGGAAATTCGGACCGCGTTTTCTGCTCGCGCCTGGAAAAAATTTTTCCAGATTGACAGATATTTATCTGCCAAAGCAAAATTCGGTATTTTTTTTATAGTTTCTACAACTAAACAAAATAACAACTGCCGAAACAACTTGCTCTAGGGTAAACAGTTCAACAAGAAGACGGCCAGACGTTGGACTTTCCGATTGGAATGAAACTTGACGAGCAAGTAGCCCTAAACACAAATAGTTCTTCGTCCAAATAAACTGACTCGCTTGTAAAGCGGTCCCGAAAAACGTGCCTCTGAAAATCGAGTGTTTAGCTTATAAGACTGGAAGTTATACCTGTCTTCAGCACTACGATAGACATTTTGAATGAGATGCCAGGCATTGAAGTTATGGAATTGTACAGTAAAATTTTAATTATTTTTACTGTTTTTTACGTATAACATAATTATTTTATTATTTTGCCGCATCATAAACATTAGTATTACCATTATTACTTCTTACGTTTAAAGCTTACAGAACAATAGATTTTAAAATAGCGACGTCATTTCCTGTTCTGCGAAAAAAAAAGTATCTTTAAATTTTTCTTTTTTATATCCTAAAATAAAATGTTTATTTCTTCATACTGTATTTTCGCTGTTTATGACTCCACATTCGAATAATCTTCACACGTTACTGAACGTGGAAAAATAAGACAAGTCCGATATGAAAATTGAGTAGTGTAGTTGCAGCTTAGTTTTTAATTGTTAATTTTATGGACAATTTCGTCGTGCGCTCGTGTTCGCTAACAAGGAGATGGCCAGAAGTTCGGTCTGGCCTTCTTGTTATCAAATCAGTTTATCAGAAGCATATGCACGGGCCGAAAACAGTCGATTTTCCCTATATGTAAATTAACATAATACACTCTCGGCCATGAATAAAATTCGTTTAAATTTCCTTAATTTCTCGAACTTTTTAATCAAAATTTTCTTACAAATCTATAATTCTAACAAATCTTCCGCTATCTTCTAAAACCAGACCCTATTCCCTAAATGTAGGGAAACTTCCTTAATTAGGGTTTCCATCGCTGCGGGATTTTCTTTTTGTTCAGGAATTTATTTAGACCACGTGTAGAAAGAAACAAAAGAAACCGGAAGTAGACGAAGAGAACAGTGTAGTGGCCAAGGTATTCGCCTTGTGTGAACGAATACCATTTTTCTTTCTCTTTTTAGGTTCAAGAACTCAGGAATAAAGAATAATAGAATTTAATTTTTCTAATAAATATGTAAGAAAACAGAAGGAACTTCGGAACTGAGATAAAATTACAGTGAAAGAATCTCCACAAGCAAGGTAAAAAGGCACCAACTCGAAACACTATGTGAGTAGTAGCGATTTTCTTATTTTTAGTTCCATAATTCTAGTCCTTAGCGCTAACGGTTAGATACAGTCACAAAAAGAAAGTTTACTTAAACATTTGTAATATAGAAATAAACGTTTCATTATAATAATTGATATCCTATAGACTTAATATTTACTTAATCAAGAATAAAAACTGAAATATTGGCTCATAATGGTAAGAATCTCGGTCACGTGTTGGGGAGGGGAACCCCCTACCGGTAGACCCCCTTTGCGATTAAAAATTCCGTTAGTATATATATTTCATTCAAACTTAATTGAATTCATTTTTGGTACCTCATTTTTTTATTATAGTGTGATTTAATCAATTATATTTAACTTTTTAAAAGCTTTGATAATAAGAATTAGATGTTGTGTTATTCAAAAAGTTTATCCATACTGCATGGGCCCTTTTTTTCTAATTTTGCTCTCTTAAGACACCTCTCGAGTAGACATCCCCTAAACACATAGAATTATTTGGGGGCGACGCGTATAAAAAGAGCTATAAGCGAAAACTCATCGGATTACTTACCGACTATGCACGGTGGAGGCCGCCATTGCTTAACCTTGTTCACATCGCGGAGTAGCACGTTGGACGGCGGACGCTTACAATTTGTGTCACGTGACCTCGGTTAAACGGCATCCAGTCACGTGGTCGGCGACGACGGAACGAGGTGGTCACGTGACTACAGCTCTGACGCGCTTCCAAGCAACTATACCTTGCGTCACGTGATAGAGTACAGTGCGTTCGTTAATAGCGATCGTTCGTAGACATTGCGAACAACGGACAGAGAAAAAAAAGATGGCGACGTCCGTAATATCGACAGTAGCATGATGGGGGATCTATAATTTTAAAATATGCGTTTTTAGAGACAAAATATTAAAAAAGCCGTCCAATAGCATTTTAAAATATGCGTTTTTAGAGAGAAAATATTAAAAAAGCCTTCCAATAGCATTTTAGTAGTTACGAAAAAAACTCGAGATGACACTTACCAATTACACGGGTATATATATATAATATCCATATATTGACTTGCACTTTCACAACTTGTAATTTTTCATTCATAAAACCACATAATTGACACTAGAACGGAACTATCCGAGCCCACGTTGAAACTACTCGTTGTTGCGTCCGACAGCGCGCTTCCCGCCAGAATGTAGAAACGAGTTCACAGAATTAGCCTTTATTGCTAACACGTGACTACTTCTTGGGGGGCAACCCGAACTTTGCTCGAGTTACGCTTCCGTAACATCGTAACATTCTATAACGAAATTGACGAGTTAAGATTTGACAACGACGATTTATTTTTCGAGATTAACTTCTTAAAAAGAGAACAGAATTAAATTACTTTAAAATTCAGATTAAATGTTTATAAATTTATTATCTAAATTTATAAACATATATGTTTTATATAGCCTAACTAATCCTTTAAGTTTAAAAATGTAAAGTTATGTAACTATAATTTATATGTAAGATATGGGATCGATTGGCTACTACATAAAGACTTTAAAACAATAGATGCAACACCAGTTAGAGCAGTGTTCATTCACCCAGTTTTTGTTTTTTTTTTTCCATTTAATTTCACGTAGATAAGACGGATCATCTCTGGTCCGCAGACCACAGTTTGAGTAGCACCGTGTCACGAAGTTCGATCGGTCTCGGGCAAAGGGCGTTATTAAGTCAGACAGCGAGCGACTTTGTTTTAAATTTCTTTTATGAATCGCACAAATTTTATTTCTTATCAGACTTTTCAATTAAACACGAAAATATCTGCAGCTTTTAACACCAAATGGTTTACAAAAATGAATGAAATCGGTAGTAACGTAGTCGACAGAAAATTGCCAACCGGGATGTACTTAAAGAACGGATAACATAACCTTTCTAGATATTTGGCTGGATTCTTAATGCTTAAATGTAACGAAAACGTTCGCTTAGTAAAAGTTTGATATCTAAAAAGGTTTGGTTATTCATTATTTTAAGAAACGCGAGCTTAAAAACAAATCGTTAAAGTTGGAAATTTCTTCCTGTTATTTGGAGTCGAATAAACTCGGAAAATCTGATTGTCGCTTAACACGTTCAAAGTCCTAAAAAAACAGTAAAATTAAAAATGCCTGTTTTGTCGCATCACTAGTATACTTCAAAAGACGTGACAAGGTTATAAATTTTAAACGTTTCTCGTCATAGCTGTAGGAATGTAAACTTAATAGATTGTCTGTCATTTGATTTTTAAAGACCACGGAAATTTTCCGTTTCTACATTCTGGCGGGAAGCGCGTTGTCGGACGCAACAAAGGGTATTTGTAATAGTAGTTTCAACGTGGGCTCGGATAGTTCCGTTTTAGTGTCCATTATGTGGTTTTATGAATGAAAAATTACAAGTTGTGAAAGCGCACGTCAATATATTATATTATATATATATACCCGGGTGTAATTGGTAAGTGTCGTCTCGAGTTTTTCTTCCGTAACTACTAAAATGCTATTGGAAGGCTTTTTTAATATTTTGTCTCTAAAAACGCATATTTTAAAATTATAGATCCCCGCTCTCACGATANCATTAAACTCAACTTACCGCCTAAATTCTCCGTAGCGTGGCGCTAGACGGCGGAAAGTATGGCCGCGTTTCTTTACGCAGCGCTCGAGAAGCGCTTTACAGCGAACCCTTTGAAACCCGTTTCTAAATGCAGCGCTGCAATGTAGCGAACCGTTTCTAAACGTTTGCTGCAAGAGGTCGCTGCAGCAAGATACAGCAGCTTTTACGTTTGCTACACGTGTAAAGCAAAATAGACGCTTGTGTGTATAATACGATATTATGCTGTAAAAATAAAAAAGTCGAAGTGACTGTTGTAAAAATATTACAGAAAGATTAAGAAGGATTAAATTTTATGAAATGACTCTGAAAGTTATCTAAAGAATAAGAAAATACTATATTTTCAATATAATTTTATATCTTTTATCTCTACTTTGTTCACATTTATGGAAAGATAAATGCCCGATTCTTTATATCTCTTGATTTAAATATTTTAGTTCTTTAACTAAAGCACTATTTTCGGCTGTAACTGGAATTAAAGGATAGATTATGACGTCCGTGTTTCGCTCGAGCGGAAAGCGTTTCTAAACTATGATGCAGCGACGTGTAGCGATAGCTGCTCGTGACGTCATTTACGCTGCNAAGGATAGATTATGACGTCCGTGTTTCGCTCGAGCGGAAAGCGTTTCTAAACTATGATGCAGCGACGTGTAGCGATAGCTGCTCGTGACGTCATTTACTCTGCATTCTTGCTGCATAAAGAAACGCAGCCTAAGCGCCCGCCATCCAATGTGCTACTCCGCGATGTGAACAAGGTTAAGCAATGGCGGTCTCCACCGTGCACACTCGGTAAGTAATCCGATGAGTTTTCGCTTATAGCTCTTAATATACGCGTTTCCCCCAAATAATTCTATGTGTTTACGACACGTCTACTAGAGAGGTGTCCAAAGAGAGCAAAATTAGAAAAAAAGAGCCCATGAAGTAAGGAAAATGGACGTGTGTGTCCTTATATTTCACTTTTTCGCCAAAATTACACATCGCACGTGAATGATGTTTGTATGTTGTAGTAGCCCCAAGTCTCCATTCGTGCACTATGGTGGTTGCGTCTCGATAACTATAAGGATGCGGGAGATATGAGGATGAAAGTGGTTTTCTATTTCGAATGTTATGTTCGAATTTAAAGTGTTATAAATTGTTTTAAAATACTCGATTGCTGTGTTTAGTAAGCCCTAAAATATAAACCGAAAATACGTCAAATAATAACAATGTAACAAGCAAGAAGCATAGTTATTAAATGTCATTATATTTATTTAAAAGTATCGACAACGTTCAAACTAAATCAATTGATTTGAATAAAATTAAGCTTAAATCAGATAAAGATTGAAGCTAAACGGGTTCTTTCGATCGTTACTTCCTATTGGATAATACAACTTCACGTGATCACGAAGGAAACATTTTTTAAAAAGTTTGTAATAGAAGTGATACGATGCGGCTACGCTTTTTTAAAGTTTAAATTTTAAATATAATAAAGTAATTTTAAAATATGCCATTTGCAAACATATTTAAAGCTGCAACGAAGAAAAAGTCCATGGTCAAAGATGAACCTCACTTGGTAGCTGACGTCACTGCAACACTGCAAAGTAACTACGACGCCGATTCGAAATCGATAAAACGTATAATATTTAGTTAATATTTGCGCAATATTAGTAGCCAATAGTTTATAAAAGGATTATAATCAAAATTTAATCTGGATTAAGGAAAAATGACGGGAGTTACAAGGAATTTACACACAAACGATGGCTTTTAGTAATATCAGCTTACAATCACCTGATGTTTATGAATATAAAAAATAATAAATTCGTTTAGAGAACAATTGGTAGTTGTTTATAAACTATACACCAGCGTTTTCTCTCTTAATTTCATTTACAATAGGGACATACACGCTAAACACGTACAAAACACATCGAATATGTGATGAGAAAACAACATTAAGAAAAAATCATAGTACTACTTACCGACTCTGCATTGTTCTAGCCGCCATTGCCTAACCTTGTTTTCGTCGTGGAGCAGCACGTTGTATAGCGGACGCTTAACGAAGAGTCTCACGTGACATTTCTCGGTTCCAAATTGGTAAAATTTTACCTACGTGCACCATCATGGCAACGGTCGCGACTGTTCATACTTGCAACAGACACTTCCCGGATGGCGTGGCATTACGCACGGACCTAAATGTAGACTTGATGATATCATAGAACGGGGGTGTGTGACGTATACCGAATATGTTAGAATATTCGAATAGTGTTTTATATTTTTGATAATCATTCAAATTGATACCTTTCTCTACTTTAGGAAATTTATTTTATTCTAGTAATTACTTTCCCCATTGTTATGTATGACAGAGTGAAACTATGACAATCGGCCAAAAAATGATCATTGCAAGATTTTTACTTTTTGGACTCCACTCTAAAACTTGGAAAAATACAAAAAACTTAAGAGATGTTTCTGTATGTGTGTGAAGGGCGCGCGCTTTTGTTCACCTTGTTCGAAGTTTAATAACTCTTATGCTTTATTGTCGATATTTTTCTAAAATTTTGCAGGAAGGTATGTGTATTACGGGAATTAATAAATGATGTCCACACTGAAACGGAGAGAAAGAGTTATGACAAGTCGAAGATGCGGAGGGAGAGGAATTGAACTTCAGTGGAGGTTCGTTTTATTTTATTACATTTTATACAGTTTATGCATTTTTTCATTTCTCATACAGTGATAAAAGTTTTGCGGAGATTTGAATTATGTTGGATTTATAAACAGGGGAGGGGTTACAGAAATTTGGATAAACTGGGACAATGAGGGAAAAGGAGTAAAAAATTTGAAGAAAAATGCGGATGTAATTTGTTCACAGCCCCTATTAATTAAGGAGGAATGCACACATGCGGCACTAGACGGAAAAGCGGCAAAATGACGTCACTTTTTCAGAACGAGAAAAGCTGCACGTCACTGCTGCACGAGAAAAGCGGCACAAAATGTGCCGCTTTTCTCGTGCAGCAAAAGTTGGTCGAATTTTATTTTTTGCGTCGACCACTGCCAAGACGCATTTCTATCAGCCAATAACGGTTTGTCTGGTAATCACGTGAAAATATACAATCACGTGGCGTTTTAATCACGGAAAGTTCGACCAGTTAACCGAGATAACTAACATCAGAATAAAGTGGAAAGGATAATAAATTTAACACAAATTCTACACAAATAATCATATATAATTTAATTTAAAGAACAAAACAACCGAATCTTACTCGAAATAGTAGTCTTTATCTGAAGATCTTAATCGAGGAATAAGCATATTTTGTACACCAGATCTTTCTCGATCCAAGAATACATATCTAATCCAAAATCTAGCTAAATAAAGCAAGCCGTACAAAACATAATTTGTAAACACGTGGATAATGGCAGTGTCAGTATCGTTTGCCATCTTGAATACTGAACGCATGCGCCAAAATGTAAGTGGATTGCCGCTTGTGTGGTTGTGCTGCCACGAGGCGCAAGTGGGCCTCACTTCACAAACAACTATATGAAAATGGCCCAGTTATGATTCTAAATCAAAGTACTCATTTTTAAATACTAAATCTGATATTAAAATTACAGGTCATGAAAAATTTGTATGGTGTTCTGAAGTCTCATAGCTAGAGTCATACTGCATTGATATACTGATATTCGCTTCACTGATAACGCCCCTTGGGGATTGCGCTTCTGATAACAATTTTAGGCAATTCTAAGTAACAATGGTAATTAAACAGATCACATCTATTTCAATTTAAAATTCAGTTACACCAAAAGATTGAATATTTCAATATCTTGTTGAATTGTCTTTTCTTTCTAGCACAGCGTTCAATCTGTTTGGCAGCGATTGTCTATTAGTTTTTCTGTGGTGTTCACCAATTTTCTGACCATGCTTGTTCCATTGTACTTTTCAGTCCATTTTTGTTTCAAATTTTGTGTGTTTAAATTTTCAATATTAATTCTTTTTAAAAATATTCGATTACAATTAGGATTAAAGTCTGTCTGTGACTCAATAATTTTTTAACAAATGTACAGCAGCCACTTTATCAGACTGTGTTGTGGATCATTATTGTGATTAAAATGGAAGATATTCGAGATTCATAGTTTTCCAGCGAAAGTTTTTACATTTTGTTTTGAAATATATCCACATTCAAAATACATATTTCATCATTAAACATTGTTCTGGAACAATTTTTTAAAAATTGACGAAAGACACTTCATCATAACAATTTAAAATTACCAAAATGGATTTCTGAAAAATTTATTGGCATTTTAGTAAATGTGTACACTGTTTATCTATAAATTTTAAGTAATTTAAATATAAAATTTATATATTTTATATGATTTAGACTAGAGAATAGAAATTTTTATGACTGTACAACATACATTGAATATGAATTTATCTGATATATAATTATAATCGTTTTATTATTATTATTTTTTCATTTAGCTAATATTTACCCTGAAAATACAGAAAGGAGAAGAACGAAATTTGAACGAAATCCATGATTCACTCTTAAGAATTTGTATTTTGAACGTTCCAACGTTGAGAGTTCCTCCTATTGCAAAAAAGTTATAAGGGCAGTGTACTTAACAATGTCTTTTAAAAATACAATATTCTTTTTATCTTAATCTAACATATTATACAACTTTACATTTAACAATAGAAATGAATAAGAACATGTATAATACATACTAATATTAAATTTATAATTAATTATTATTAATATTAAAAGTCATGTAAAATTAAATTTTATGCAAATTATTTCATGTATGTTGTTATTAATTTCAGTTGTTCTTTGGTTGAATCACAGTTTTGAAGAAAATATTTTCCAAGTTTATAGAAAAAATTGAATGTTAGATGCACTGTTTTACTCACATCAGTACTCTTCATTTAAATATATAAAAGAAGCAAATGATCTACTCCAACGATATAAAAAGAAAATTTATGAAGACATAAATACACTTGAAACATTTTTTACAGAAATTGTTTACCTTAATATGTAGTTTCTTATTAGCTGTTGTTGAAAATATTAATAACATAATATATTTATACTTGAACGTTATTATGTCTAAAATTATTTTTGTGTGTGTTTGATACAGAAATGTTCTTTTAAATGTAAAAATTATTATTTAGTTAAATATTATTATTGATATAATTATTGTTCTTATTTAAGAAACTTTTTATTATATCGATAAAATATTATCTATAACATTTTTTTTTAATTGCAGGAAAATGGAACCAAAAGAAATTTTCATGTAAACATTGTAAGAAGAACTTTACAACTAAATACAGTTTGCAAATTCATAAAAGAATCCATACAGGAGAAAAACCTTACTGTTGTGACAAGTGTCAACAGAAGTTTTCACAAAAGTCAAACTTAATTGTACACCTTCGGGTCCACAATAGAGAAAAGCCTTACTGTTGTGATGAGTGTAAACGGAAATTTACACGAAAGTCAATCTTAATAGCACACCTTCGGACCCATACAGGAGAAAAGCCTTATACTTGTGACATGTGTAGTCAGAAATTTACACAAAATTCAAGCTTAATTAAACACCTTCGGACCCATACTGGAGAAAAGCCTTACAGTTGTGACGAGTGTAAACTGAAGTTTTCAACAAAATCAAACTTAATTGCACACCTACGGGTCCACACTGGAGAAAAGCCTTACAGTTGTGATGAGTGTAAACAGAAGTTTTCAACAAAATCAAACTTAATTGCACACCTACGGGTCCACACTGGAGAAAAGCCTTACAGTTGTGACGAGTGTAAACAGAAATTTACACAAAAGTCAAGCTTAATATTACACCTTAGAACACACACTGGAGAAAAGCCTTACAGTTGTGACGAGTGTAAACAGAAGTTTTCAATGAAATCAAACTTAATTAAACACCTTCAAATCCATACTGGAGAAAAGCCTTACAGTTGTGACGAATGTAAACGGAAGTTCACACAAAAGTCAAGCTTAATTGCACACCTACGGGTCCACACTGGAGAAAAGCCTTACAGTTGTGATGAGTGTAAACAGAAGTTTTCAATAAAATCAAACTTAACTGAACACCTACGGGTCCATAGTGGAGAAAAGCCTTATACTTGTGACGAATGTAAACAGAAATTTACACAAAAGGCAAGCTTAATTGCACACCTTCGGATACATACTGGAGAAAAGCCATATAGTTGTGACGAGTGTAAACAGAAGTTTACACAAAAGACAACGTTAATTAAACATCTTTGGATCCACAACAGACGAAAGTAACATGAATGTTAATTATGTCCAGCGAAATTCATTCGAAACGATGATCTAAATGCACATTAGAATATTTACACTTGGAAATTTTGAAGAAATATTATTTTTAATTCATATTGATGTATAATGACCGAAAGATGTAAGGAAAACTGGTTTTAAATTAAAATGATGTTTTTCTAATTTCCAAAAAGTTTCAATTAAAAGAAATCACAATATTCATATTCAGATGTAATTCTTTTAGAATTTGCTGAAATTTTATTAAAAAAAGTAACATTTCTGTTGATGTCGATCTTTTTTAGGATGTGGTTTCAAAACAAAATTTAATATTTTCAAATTTACTGAAATTTTGAAATTGTAATTTTATGTTTGAACATACAAAACAGTTTATGTAGAAGTTTGTTCAAAACAGATTACGTTATTATTGAATCACATTATCATAACTTCACATCAATACCCGAATTGTTATTTTATAATTAAAATGTCCTTATGTAAACCTTTTTTGAATAAAACTTTGCGGCATCGATACTTGCTTGTATTAATTAGAGTTGAAGTTAATTTATTAAATTTAGTTAAATTTCAGTAATTAGGAAACTGCATATTTTGCTGTAATTCATAAAACAGGAAATCCTGGTATATTTGAACTTTATGAGCACGTCCAAAATTGTCCTCATTTTTTGACAGGTAAATGCTGTCATGTTTTAGAAAATTTTTTTTTGTTTATAACCCATTTTTTACATCTGATACGAAAACATTTTGTGCAATAAGTCAATTTTAATTTTTGGGCTGCAATTTGAAAAAATATTACATTTATAATTTCTCACTGGTGTCTGTCCTTCCTTAATCTCGAAAATGGTGTTAGATACTATAGATGCAAGCAGGGCCTGTTCTAGCGATTACGTCGCCCCGGACAAAAAGACAAATTGCCACCCTTTAAGAATATATACAGGTAACCCCCATATAACTCGGCACTTCTATAGCACGGATTCACTCTAACACGGTTCAAGAATTGGGTAAAACCCTCGTACAATGGAAAATGTAAAAAGGGTGCATTCTTTTGTTACTCCGCGCAAGCATTCTGTGACCGAAGGGTCGGCACTTCTTTGGTGCCCTGTCAGGATGACACCACCGCGTCTCGGCGGCCGCGTTATTTAGGTCACGCGAGCGGTCGCGAAACGGAGCGATCAGGGTCCAGATAGAAGGAGAGATAACGCACAGGAAGTGATTTACTCAGACGCTTTTTAAGGTAACAACTGTTTAATGTTTAACGATAGGCTATACATTAGGGCTGCTGTTAGATACATTTCTCGATTTGATAGTACAGTAGAACCTCGAAAACTCGGCCTAATGTGGACCGAAGAATGGCCGAGTTTGTGAAAATGCTGGGTTATCGGGAATGGGGTTAAAAAATAAGTACGAGTGTTTCCTCAGAAAATAATGTACTGTACTTGTATGTATTGTTTACTTGAGAATATAACAAAAAATAAACTGCCCAAATATCCTTAAACAAAGGAAAAGTACGTCCTTTATGAAGGCATAGAGCCTTTACTACATGAAAATGAAAATTAATGAATACACTGTGTACAGTAATTTACCTGATAAGACAGACCTCAGAAAAATACTTTATGAGAGCTTTTATACTTTTATAAAGCTGTCTATAATGAAAATTAATTAACTAAGGATTTTTTTGCCCTGCCAGGGTGTGGCCGAGTTATCCGGAGTGCCGGGTTATCGAGAGCCGAGTTTTCGAGGTTCTACTGTATTAAGATATTACGTTTTTCCCCGTTTTGAGAGAGAGAGTTTACAGAAGTTTGCGTGTCGATAATTACCTTGTATGAAATCCCAAAAAAAAAGACAGTTCTGGACTCATAAAACAGAAGACACAGCTATTAGGCGCGGAAATATCCAAAGGCGAAGCACAGGGATAACTTGAGTGGTTTGATCGAGGAACTGGTAACGACTGACTCATTTTGTTCTCTGTTTTTCATGTTAGATTGTTAAAACGGAGATATTAGGTCGAAAGGTGCTGAGAAAGCGTTGTTATTACGCCTGAGAACTTAGCAGATGTTAGCTCCCAGGTGTAAAAGTTGACAGTTGTCGAATGAAATTATGACTACAATGTGAAATGATATAAACACACGAGAAGTCCGAATTCGGATCCTCACAATTCTAATTGTTTTAGTGGCTCCTTTGAATGCTCTTTCAACAAATAATCCATTTACTGGTTAAATTTTACAATTGGGACCCTTCTTTTGCCTCTAAAAGCTCATTTTAGAATTATAGATTCCTCAACAGGATACTATCGATAGTGCGGGGGCCGCCATCTTTCTTTCACTGTGGTTCCTAAATGCCTATAAACAGCAGCGCACTCCTGTTGCAGAGCGACCACTATTAACGAACTCACCCAAAAACTGTTACCAGTTGATGGGTGCTCATGCTGAGATCATCATATAAAATGAATAATCCTCTGGTAAAATATTTACTTAAATAATAAGTATTTTTACGTATGAAAAAAAAAAAATAATAAATCCGATTTAAATAAGGATTTAACAACATGTTTTTTAATTTTTGGAACCTAACCCCCCCTTTTCGCACTAGTTATTTGTTTTCGTATAATACGGATTCGCATAACACGGCAATTTTTTGAAACGTAACTCCCGTGTTATACGGGGGTTACCTGTATACATTTTTAAATGTACGTATTTTTTATTTTCAATAAAAATTAAATCATTTTATTTAAATTTTAATAAAAGCATATATTTAGAAACACATAACATAACATTGATAATCAAGCAGTACAAAACAGTAGAAATTAATTAAGAAATAACTGTACCTAGCCACAAATTGTTTACCATATAATTTTTTATATTTTTAAATGCTATTAAAAATGTATTATTGCACAAACAATCAAAATGCCATTTGAAAATAAAACAAGGAAACATCAACTCCGCTAAAATCACAAAATAATTTTTTTTTCAGTTCTGCAAACTTTTTATTGCATCTTTTAAATTTACTTGATCAGCAATTTCATGCTCAATTGCCAACATGGCAAACCATTAAGACAATTTTGTGTAGTAGTCGAACGTAAAAAGTTCTTGATTAATTTTAATTTAGAAAAACTCCTTTCGCCACTTGCTACAGTTATTGGTACAGTAGAACCTCGAAAACTCGGCTCTCGGTAACCCGGCACTCGACCACACCCTGGCAGGGCAAAAAAATCCTTAGTTAATTAATTTTCATTATAGACAGCTTTATAAAAGTATAAAAGCTCTCATAAAGTATTTTTCTGTGGTCTGTCTTATCAGGTAAATTACTGTACACAGTGTATTCATTAATTTTCATTTTCATGTAGTAAAGGCTTTATGCCTTCATAAAGGACGTACTTTTCCTTTGTTTAAGGGTATTTGGGCAGTTTATTCTCTGTTATATTCTCAAGTAAACAATACATACAAGTACAGTACAGTATTTTCTGAGGAAACACTCGTACTTATTTTTTTTAACCCCATTCCCGATAACCCGGCATTTTCACAAACTCGGCCACCCTTCGGTCCACATTAGGCCGAGTTTTCGAGGTTCTACTGTATTGTTAGCAATATTCTTAAAGCAATAGTAAGATTTTGAGCAAAATTTAAACTTCGTGATTAAGCTCAGTACATTGTTTAGGCTTTCTTTTTTTTCCCAAAAGCGCAGATACTGCTGAAATTTTCTTTGCTAATTCTACCCTATTTATGTCGACAGAATCACCATCAGTTAAAATGCATTCTAAATTCTTGCAGTGTTTTAGTAGCATTTCTTTGGACACGATATTTAAATCGTATATATTATATAAGAATTGAAAATAGTTACCATGATTATTAAGTTGTTCAAATCTAGCATCTAGTGCATTTAGTGCTTGATCGATTGTAAAACAAAAAAAAAAAAAAACATATTTTATATTTTTATTTTGGATCTTTGATGTGTTCATCTCGTTCTTCGTATAAAAAGTTCCTTTTCCTTCTTCTAACGTGGTGTCGTGTTATTGCTGATCGAAAATTATCCTCCGCATCAATTTCGGTAGCGAGTTCTTTTGCATCAATAATAGTTTCATCGAAAGATGAATCGATCTTTCATACTTTTGTCATATCATTAACAAGAAGATTGAGAGAGTGGCTACTACACGGAACATATAATGTTCGCGAATTATATTGTTTAATTCTAGATTGCACTTCAGCTTGATCGCCCCTCATATTGGACCCGTTGTCGTATCCCTGCCCTCTGATAGCCTGTAAATTTACACTCGAGTTATTAAGTTCTCCAATTATAATATCAGACATTTGTATTCCTGTGGATCTTTCGACTAATACGAAGCCTAAAAAGCTTTCTTTAATTTTAATTTCAACATCAGCATCAAATTTATTGATTGAAATATATCTGATTACAAGAGTCATTTGCTCTACCTTACTAATGTCAGGAGTATAGTCTAAAATTATGGAAAAATATTTTGATTTTTTTATTTCATCAATAATATGAGACTTTACACTTTGATGCAGCAGATCTATTATGTCGTTTTGCATATTTTTCCCGAGATAGTGAGCTTTAGTCTCTTTTTTTAGCACTCTACAAACGTGGTCTTCCATAATGAGATTAAATTCAGATAGCAACACAACTGTTTTTAAGAAATTACCGTTTTTATACTCAAACAACTTGTCGCTTGTACCTTGAAAAGCCAGACTACTTTTACCAAGCATTTTAGTAATTGCTACGATTTTTAGTAGCACCTCGTTCAAATGATTTGTTTCGGCATTAAAGTTATGTTACTGTGAAAGACCAATATTTGTGAATGTCGACATTCGCCGGTGAATGTCAACACAGACAACTGTGTGCATGTTGACATTCACCAGAAACAACTGTGTGCATGTTGACATTCACCAGAAACAACTGTGTGAATGTTGACATTCTCCCCATTTCGGTCATTCACAGTAACAGTTACAATATGTAAAATTAACAATACGGTTACTCACTAAATTTCTTAAATGAAGGGTGCAATCTAGGGATATGACATGTCACGGGGCACGCTAACGAAAAAAGGTTGGGAACCACTGTCCTAAGCAAGTTCTGTGTACTTGCTAATTTTTTCAGTGAATGTGAGTGTTTGGAATGGCTACGTCTATAATGTATGTGATTTTATTGTGTTTGTCAATGAGTGTGATGTCTGGTCTGTTGTGGTAAATTGTTTTATCTGTGA